CAGAACAGGCGGAAACCCTAAACACCAAATTTTTCGTGATCCAAAAACAACAAATTTTTCACCATTTAATCCTTGAAAAAGTTGAATAAAGCTGTTTACAGCCTGCTAATCAAATCACATGCCAAAAAAAACAAAAAAAATGATAAAAAAATGACAAATTTCAAAGAATCCCGTGAAGAACACTGTGCAACCCGTGTTCTTCACGGACTCGCCGATTCCGCATAGTGAATCGGCGAGTCACTGTGTGGAATCGTCCGGTTCTCTCTAGAACCGGACGATTTTCGATTTTTTAACCGATCCGGTCCTTTTTCGCGATTTTCGAGTCGAACCAGATCCGATCCGGTTCGACTCGGCGTTTTTTAAAACGCTGGTTTAGATAGACTACTTGCATCATCTCTTTACGGCATACAATTTACCTAAAAAAACAAAGTCAGCACAAAAAGCAGGGGTGTTCCGGTAATTCAACGATCTTATGCAAAAGACGAGATGGGGGGAAATTTGGATCCCAATATTTTCGAACCCCGCCTTCTTTCTGATCCGCTATTTCTTGCAACCCAAAACATGTCTCTGTGCTCCTCCTGAACACATTCGTCTCTCTCTCTAGACACCCGTGAAAAACCCTAGCGAGGTGCTCTGCTTTCCCTTTGAGAGATATTTTTTTACCTGCACCTGCTGCTGACCTACCACAGAGAAAGAGAGAGCTTTGCATTTGATTTTCCAGCACACAGAGAGGTCAGGCTTTTGTTGCTCAAAGAAGGCAACAGCCAAGTGAGTTGAATCTCGCTTTTTTTCTCAAGTTAAATTTTATCTTCATGAATGATTTTGTAATGGTTTATTGGTGGGCTATTTTGCCTTTGTCTCATGGATGATTAAATTGTGTATCCTTTTTTTTAGGAGGTTTATTGGTTATGTATCTAAGTTTTTTATTTTATGTTATTTTATTTCCATGTGTGTGGAAGAGAATGGCTTTAATCATTCTGCACTGTAGATACTGACGATTTTCTCATTCTATTTCCTATGGTTACAATTTTCTGTATCTTCAGTTGATTTGGGGGTTTAAGGTTCGGCATTTTTGGATTGCTTTCAATAAAAAATTAGGGTGAAGACCTCTTATCCCTTTCCATCACAATGAGGGTTGGGCTTTCTCAAATTTCTAGTTCCATGAAATAAGCAAATGCCTTGATTATTTCTTACTGTCAATTGCTTTGTCCTCAGAAATCTGTACATTACCCACATTTGCCATGCTATTGATCTTCCTCTTGCTGGAAGCACATGCTTCCTTTTGACAGTGAATTGCAATTCATTATGTATTGCTTTATTGGAATTGTTTGCTTTTGTCTATGGTTCTGCACGATCGTCAGTGTATTCATACATGCACGTGCCATAAGATTGTCATCTCTTTCTCTCTCTCACACATTATCTCTATGTTCAAGGGATTGCTTTCGTGCTTCTATTTCAAAGGAGACAAACTTATCTTCTGTAATGTACTGGTGTGGTGGCAAAGTGGAATGGTTAGCTTTGAAATTTTTAAATATCTATTTCTTAAATAACTGGCACATGTTTGCTCTTCAAGGCTGCCTGTGCATTGAGTGAAATTTTGATATTAAGAAAATCGATTTTGTTTCTTATTTATGTAAATATTGGTAGCATCAGAGGGGATTCACACTTTTATGAAATCTTCAAGAACTATAAAGTATTCCTTGAATCTATTTACAGTATTATATTGGATGAATGGAGCGAACCTTATTTAATTACAAAATGGTATTAAAAAAGTGCATTTTGCACATCATATCAATGAAATACAGAGTTAACAGTATTATAGGTAGTTTTCAGCTTTTCCATTGCCATACAGGTGATATTACCAGCACCACAGTTTATCAAACAGTGCAGTGCTACCAATTTTCACTTGCATCCCAGAATTAAGGAAAGTCAGCAGCAGGGGTGCTTCCAAGTGAGACTGTAGTGAAAGTTATCAAATGTCACCTTAGAAAGCCATAAAAGCAAATCCAGAGCAGGGGTATTCCAGTAATTCAACAATCTTTATGCAAAGACGAGAAGGGTGGGAAATCTCGATCCCAATATTTCGAACCCCGCCTTCTTTCTTTCTTTCTTTCTCTCTCTCTCATCTATGATTTCTTGCAACCAAAACATGCCTCTCTGCTGCTGAACACACAGTCGGCTCTCTCTCTCTCTTGACACAAAATGGTTGGAGTAGACATCACACAACCTCAAAGGGTGGTATTTTTAATAGATCTGCAACCTCTCCACCAATGCCCAAACCCCCATCTCTACATTTCTCTCATCAAGGCCTCAATTCAGAAATGCCTTGCAAACCCTTCTCTCTCCTCTTCCCTCTCTGCTTTCAAGCTCTTCTACTCCTCTCTCTCCCCCCTATTATCTTCCTCTCACATTCACCAACTACTCTCCAAATCCCTCCTTTTATCTCACTTTGACTTCCCACCCAAAACGCAAAGCACCCTTTTTCGTACCCTCGAATCACTGAAGATTCCATGCCATCGACAGCAGAGTGGCTCTTCTCCCTTTGCAACTGCTGAGTTACTTGCACGTGCATTGCAGCAGATAGTCCATGACTATTGGTGGGATGCTCAAGACAATGGTACACAGCTCTCTAATCATCTCCATGTATCTCTCAATCCCAATAAACATTTTCTCATAGTTCTTTTCTCTCCAATTCTGTGGTCTCATGAAATGTTATCCAAGTTCATGGGCATGGAGATCAAAGATGGTTTTGTAGATAGATGTTGCTTTTCCAAATCTTTTTGTCAGGTTTTCGGCTCTGTGAGAGAAGCATTTGAGTCCAGAGGCATTCATCTTTGTTGGGTAGATGTGAGTGGAGCAGAGGAAAGGTTTGGCAATCAATTGGGTCTGTTAGACGAGGAAATCAAGGGTTTTGGATGGGGTGTCAACTCTACAGATGTGATTCTTTGTGGATCACAGATTGTCCCATTTGGTCTTATATGGCCTACCATTGCTTTCTCCATGGAAATTGTTGGCCAGAACAAGGGCAGTGCAGAGTTGACATTGGAGATCAGTGATGTCAATGGAATGCCATTATCTTGCCGGTATTGTGATCTTGAGTTGATCAACATGGAGCCATGCTTAAATAGAACTGATCCATTGGGGATAAAGAGATGTCTGGTTTCCAGTGATCGCAAGCAAAGCTTGAAAAAATTGGATACAGATAGTGTGAAGATCCATGTTCACAGAGTTTTTAGTAAGGATCTATCGGTTAATGTTGAGAGAGTGGTATTAGCCGTCTTTCTGCTTCGTGGGTTTGCAGGGAAATCTAGAGAGAGAAATAATGTTGAAGCATGTGATCCTTGTGGTTTTGTTGCAGACAGGGTTCTTGAGAAGCTCCGGTCAAAAGAGAGTGAGTTTATGGCTGGGAAACCTGCTTGGCAGCTTTTTCTAGCTTTTTTAACGAGAAAATACTACCAGGCTCTGGTTTCTGTAACAGATAAGAATGGTTGTTCTCATATGGGTGTTTTAGATCCCTTTACAGCTCACTCAGCAATTCTCAGTATTATTGATGCTGGTTCTAATCATCTTCAGGAAAATGCCTATCTTGAATGTGGAATGAGTGCTAATTCAAACCAACAAAATTTAGTTACTGATTGTCAATTTGAGGCTTCTATTTATGTTCCCTTATGTACTGCAGAAGATGTTGCAGAAAGAAGGGACAGAAGACATGCAGAAAGAGGGGAGAGAAAACTTAAGTTGTCGAGTACACTTACTAACCTAACATGGGATTCCTTCTATAAATCAGTCCTCAAACACTTTTGTGGCGAGCAACCTGAAACAGATACTCCTCTTAGTTTAAAAGATTTCTACATGATGAATGGCTGCAAACTCTCAAAAAAGTTGAGGTTTCTAAACTGCTGGACAAAACAGATTGAGAAATCATCTGTTTTCTGTGAAAGTGCCAGCATAATGGATCTGCGAAATTCACAAAAAGATGATGTTGATGAAGATAAGGAGGTTACAGTTATGAGTACACAGTCCTTGCCATCTTCAGAATCAGTGGCAGATTGTACCTCTTTAAGTCAGTGTCAAGATGATGGATCGGATATCTTGAATTCTGAAGATCCCGAAACTTTCTTTAAGTCTGTTTCTGAGAAGATGGCACAGGGTATCTCTGATCCGGAGGTAGACTTGGGGTTCTTAGCAGGGTGCCTTGTTGAACTGTCGATCAATTGGTTGCTGGCAAAACATGAAGGACAACTACCCTCTAAAAAATTTGGGGAAGCTTTTAATGCAAATTCTGCCTCCCATTTGGGCCAATTACTATTAAGAACACCAGAAGAGTTGGAAGTGAAATACAAAAACTGCCCTTCTTCTTCCAGTGCTGCTTATTCTAACACTTCTGCTCATTACACTTTGGAGAATAAAGTTCAAGAGTATCCTTTTATTTTATTTTATTTTTAATTCAAATTTTTAATTTTTTAACAAATTAGTATGTAATCCTATCTTCAATGACATTAGAGTTTCACTGAATGGTCAGAGTCACATGCCTCCACTACCAAATTGAGTCATTTGAGAGGTGAATTCAAGTTGTTTCCTTAATTATTGTAAGACATGAATTGCAGGTCTTAATTCGAATGGAGATACTTAGGTCAAAGATATGTGGAGACATTGAGGCCAACGAAAAAGATGAGATGGTGAAAGATATTTGCTGCCTGTTAGAAAACATTCAATTTAATCTGCAAGGAGAGATCTTTGTTGGTGAAGACCTTGTTCAGTTTGCAGAAAGGGTCATTAAATCCAGGTACATTCTTTTCAAATATCCAATTAGCAGTCACTGAATAACTAATGTGTAGCTGTGATGATTAAAAAATGTTAATGTACCAAATGAAAATGGCAAACAATATCATGCTGCTATTCTACAAGACAATCACATCCTTTCATCATGCTTTAGCTGTGTACATTTTATCAGTCCACTTGACTTGAAAATTGATAACTTGACATTGCTTTTGGGTGGTGGGTTGTGCATGCCTGTAAATTTCTAATACCCCTTCCCTAAGGCTATTTCTGCCCTTCAGAAAGGGTGGACATCCTTTCATCATGCTTTAGCTGTGTACATTTTGCCGGTCCACTTGACTTGAAAATTGATAACTTGACATTGCTTTGGGTCTTGACTTGAAAATTGATAACTTGACATTGCTTTGGGTGGTGGGTTGTGCATGCCTGTGAATTTCTAATACCCCTTCTCCAAGGCTATTTCTGCCCTTCAGAAAGGGTGGACAGGCTGCCCTGGGTAGCCTGCCTATGTCTAGGCGGGGTGCTCTGGCCCTCTAGGAGGCTGCGACACCTACCTATGCAGAAGGCTGGCCGAAATTTTGAACTATGGCTTGGCTCATCAGTGCCTTCTGATTGATTGCATCTAAAGCTTCAATAATTGATTCAGTTTGAATACCTTATCTGAATTGTCCCTGTTGAGCATGAAACTGTTTACAGAATGAAATCTTATCCTTCATTGATGATAACAACATGACTAATTGATCTAAAGTTGGCTCAATTCTTTTTCCATGATCAAGCTGTATGTCTCTATTATGTCTCATACGCTAATGGTGAGTGCATAGGGATTTCACTGAGCTCAGGAAATAGCTACTTCTGAATTGCTGTTGCATGACATAATTGGTTCAAGACTCCTAGCTCTTTGATTAAATTTTACGAGTGCTGCATGGTCATCAGCAGACTCTGTGGGAGGAGCACATGCAGACTTTGTTCTATGCTCCTCTGGAATGAACAGAGGGGATACAATAATACGTTTCAGGTGACAACTCCTGCAATTGAAAGCTGATTCTCTAGTCAAAGACCATGAAGTAGGAAATTTTTTATGCTTGAGCTTGATTGGTTAAGGTGCTGACAATTGCAACACTATGGACCAAGTTCAAACCCAAGTGCTGTAACTACCAAAAAGAAAAAGAATATAAAAGTATATGGGAAATCTATCTTTCTCCCTTGGATTTTGAACCGCTTTCAATGTTCCTCAACAGCATTTTGGAATGCCTTCAAGTAATGTTATTTCCTTCCAAATTGACATCATATTGTTAATATGGAACTGAGTGGAGGATCTTTTTAGGAAAGAGTGAGATAATGAATGGTTGCTATCACCAACTTATGATGAAATGGGCCTGGGGTCCTGAGGTGAGAATGAAGGACTTGTTGCTAAAGTAGCGTTATAGGCCAGACAATCTGAACATGAGATGTATAAAACCATCAAGTGATTCTTGCGGAGAAAAGCAAAAGAAATTAGGATTGCTCCAACCATTTCGCATATAGAGAATATAAAAAGTATTTGGTCAACAGGCACCTAATCAGTAACACTCTCCTGGACCACCATTGTAAAGCATAACTAGGACTAGAAAAAATTCAACTTTCAACTAACAAACGTTTGGCCATTAACTAGATAATGTCCAAATTGGTGGTTGGAAGAGTAAAACTTTATAGACTCCAACTCCAGAGATGCGAAACCTTAATCCTTTAATGGTTTCATGGGTATGAGAGACTGTAATACTGCTCATGCAGAGGTGAATCTGAAGTAAGCTTGGAAAAGAAGGCTGAGTTGATGGAGCTAGAGACATGGAAAGGTAGTCCCCGAGTTTTACTAGGAGCAAAGAAAAGCAAAACGGTGATGACCAGGTCCATGTGAAAATATACTGGTGTTGTGGTCTTTTACTATTGTACGTTTCTGCAAAGAGTTGAATACATTTATGCATAGCCAGTACTATTTGGCCTCCCATCGGCATAGATAAATGGATTTGAGTTTTATCAAGGGGGGTACCACATCAAAAAGTCTCTTATCTTCCTTGTACTGTATTATGCACTTCATAATCATGTCAAAATATAGTTCTTTTTGGCCAGTTTATTTTCCTTGGTAAGTATGCTGGTCTATGTGAGGATTCAATTTAAGTTAAAAGTCCTTTGGTCTTCCTCATATGATCAGGATTAGTGTTATCAGGATGCACCGGTCACTAAATTGGTGGGCGGTCTAGTCCAATCAAAATCGGTGTGACGTCGGTTAAACCTATTGAACTTTTAAATAAATAAAGAAAAATTAGCTAGTCATAATCGGCTCATCTAACTGGTGTAAGTCAATCAAACATTAGTTTTGACCATATTTGTAACTAAACTTGGTTTTCTCTAGGGGGATTGACTAGCTCACCAGTCGACCCAGCTGGTATGATCTGGTCTTGATAACTATAATTTGGATATATTATCACTATAACTATCCCTTGGGGCGTCATTAAACATCATGGCATGTTGGATTTTATTCCTTGTATGCTATGTGCGTTCGTTCATAGATATTGCAGCATACTTGAAGCCAAGTGAGATAAAGTAGGAGATATAACTGAGATGGGGGTATTCATGTATTGCAGTGGCTCAAATCACGAGCTGTCCATTCTAATTTCCCATCAAAGAAAGAGCCAGCCAAGAGTTTTTCCAATTTGTGATGGCTTTTGTTCTCTTGTTTAATTTGAAAAACTAACTTGTAACCAATGTGGCATAGACATGGTGAGCAGGTTTTGTAGCCAGTTGATATGGTGGCACTAAGCTTGTTTATCCCTGGGCAACTACTATTGTTTGACACTATTTTGTCTATCCATGGATGTTAATAATCTCTGGTGAGATGCTTTACCAGTTTCAAGAGTTTAGATTTTGGGTCCTCCAGTAGTTCGTTAGTTGTAATTAAATATCCACAGGTATTTATTTAGTCACGATTTGTAAACTGTAAACATGTCACGGTGATCTGCTGACTGATGCTTTGATTAGCAAATAAAAGAGGATTCTACATTATATGCCTTCCATGGGGAATTAATCACAAGCTTTTGGTGTATGTGCCTCAAAGTCTTCTCACCTGAACTTTTTAATCAATTTAGTTGAGCGTCATTTTGTTTTTGTTTGTTGTTTTTAGTTATAAGTTTGGATTTGTGCAGATATGCAGATTCTCTTCAAGACTTGGTACACGAGATATACAACCAGATGGAATTTTCTGCGGTGGACGCATTAGATTCTCCTATCATCATTGAACAAGCTCAGAATTTGAGCGAGCCATGCTTGTTCGGCAATGACCACCACCAACACAGAGGTGATGCTGCTAATGATGAAGTGGAAGCCGAAGAGCACCGCCTTAAAGAGGAAGCACGAGAGAGGCGGGAAAAAGCACGTAGATTGGCCCAGCTCACAAGTTGGGCTCCCAACCTTGGGCGAGTGTGGGCACCACGAAGGACTCAGATTCCGGCAAAAATTCCCCGCAGAATGGGAAGTTGCCAGCGGAAAGGGCATGGGGAAGTGGCTGAGGTGGTTTACGAAACGCCAATGGCAGAGACCAAAAAGAGGTGTAGAACTGATTGCGGTGGTGGGTCAGTTTCCAAGGCCTTGTTTTCTGACCCACTGAACTAGTGTCCGTTAGTTTTTGTGCCCTCCAATATTTATTTAGTGGAAAAGAACAGGAAAAGAAGAAGAAATACAACGCTAACAAATTACTCCCTGGCTGTAAGGATAATGCTTTTCTTTTTTCATTGTTCTTTTAATCCTTGGGAAATCGACCAAGCTTCGTATCTTATTAAACGTCGAAGTGTTAATAAGAGATGCATCACCTGTTCAGGGAAATTGATTGGCTTACAAAGATCATCCGTTCCCATAAAACATGCTCCATTATTCAAAATCCTTTGGACTAATATTTAGTGACACAATTTCATATAGTCAAAGGAAACAATTTCACACGAGCTGGACCGTACTTCTACAATATGTGGTCCAGAGGTATAAAGCTCAAATAGGTGGTCTATTTAAACACAATTGTAACTAACGGCAAATGTTTTTTTAATATAAATATTATTTCTAATTTTCAAAATTTATTTATTTATTTCATATTCATGATTTCCATGTTGCAGATTATATATACTTTAAAAATTAGAATAAAATTATATTTAAAAATATATTTATTGCTAAGTCTGCATTTTTACAATATGCGGGCTGGCCACATGCTAAACGCGTCCTTTACAATAATGAAGCACCCTCAACCATAAAATGCAGTTTGGTTTAGATGTAACAACTCATTCTCAATAAATTATTGATTTAAATAAAAAAAAAAGAATTTGAGCCTCAAAATTTGGCTATGATTTTAAGTTTAAAAGAAACATAGCAAAGAACTTTTGCTAGGGGCCATGAGCCTCAAATTTTCGCTATGAATTCTCTACCCCTCTTAACATAAATTGGATCTCACTCCAAGGGGTATTAGATGGATGTTTACACCATCAGGAAAATGACCTACGGTTTGAAATCGGTGATATAACCTCTAAACTCCAAACTTTAGTGCCATATGACAAGCATGCAGTTGACCAAATAGTTTCTCCCTCAAGTAGCCCCAATGTCTTGCAATTGCGTTGAAAGTCAATTTCACTCCACTACATCATTTTTTGTTTGGGCCGGGGTGCGGGGGATGCCAAAGACCTATTTTTTCCTTTTGTTTTTGTTTTTTCAAGAAAAAGCAGTTCATTGTTTAATCCAGTTTTGGAATCGACAAATTTTCCTAAATTCTGAGCCCTAGGGACCAAAACAGTTTAGTAAACCCTAGGGATCACATCAGACTAGTAGACCTAATTATATTTGTAGACTTCAAACCCAAATTTTAGGATTACCCAACACTCTATATTGTCATCCTAGATAGCCTTGAGCCTAATAAACATAAAAGGCTTAACTCGAATACTAATCTGATAGCCTTGAGCCTAATCAACATAAAAGATTTAACTCGAATACTAATCTGACACCTTGAGACATAGAATCAACACATAAAAATATTAGCATTCTAGACCCCTCAAATTTTGTCCCAATTGGGCCAATTTTGATTCTAAATTAAGTAGGAGATCAAGATCTTTCAGACGGTTCAACAATCTCCTGAATCCGATCTACTGTTTGAAAGATTTGGCTTGAAAAATTTTGTTCATAAGAAATTTCACACTATTTGTGTCTTCCAAAAATTCTAGACAACAAGAAAATGACCCCAAATGGCATGAATTGTATCGTCTATCAGTTTTGACATGATTGAAAATTGAGATAACCAATATCAAAATTAAACATTTTTTAGTCAAATTTTAGCCGTATTCCTTTGTGAAAAGAGAAGACGATGGCGTAAATAACCTGCGGTCCTAATACGGGCTCCAATTCTGGGTTTTAGACGTCCCGGGCCAATTGGCCCAAGTAAGTAAGTTATTTTTGTTTCTTTTTTTTTTTTTTTACCAGTTTATCTTTAAGTCTATCTACATTAATTTTAGAAGTGTTTTTGGTGTAGAAAATCAACTGGCGTTGCCAACAATTTGAGGAAGAAACGCATCCCTCCAAGATCAAGCTGCTCTTCTTTAGATTGTAATTTGATTGATCCCAACTTTCTCTATTGATTTTCATATTTAACTAGTTTGGAGCTCAGATTAGAGAGGGTCTCTCCATCAAAAACTCTTTTAGATTTGACCATAAATAATTTAGCATCCATCTAGGGCCCTCGAGATGATATTTACACCAGATAATAATAATAAAATTGCATATCCATGGCCATTTTATTTTCAGCTTTTTTTTTTTTTAAAAAAAAAGAGGGCATCTTGAATCCATATTTCAGGGGCGTTTTCTTTTTTTTTTTCTGGCAATTCAAAATTTCTTGGGCTTATTTTGTATTTAGATTCTCAATTTCATTGATTGAAAATAAGGGAAGCAAAAAATTCCTTCTATTTCTATCCTATGATTTTGCATTTCTTATTTTATGCTGCAACTGTTTTACTGTTATCTAGGCTCAGTTTAGCATTCTCTATCTTATGCCTCACCTTTTCGTTTTTTTGTTTTTTTCTGTATGGTGACCTTTTTTCATTTGATATATTTTTCATTTCATCATGTGAGAGTTTCACTTTTTGCTTGCTAAAAGAAAAAAAAATTGATTTGTCTGATTTGTCTTAGAAATTGACCTTTTGGTCCACTTGTTTATACTTTTCTAGGGTAAAATCATAAAAAAAAAGAAGGATCCAAAATAAAAAGTTCATTGCTTTGTTTGAGCCTTGCTCATAGTCTAGCTTTTCTCTTTTTTTTTTCTTTTTTTTTTAAGCCGTTTTGCTTGTAAAAAAAAAGGAAAAACATCAATTTCTTGAGAGAAAAAATACTTTTAACGGTGTTCTTGTTTCCAGAAAAAAAAAAAGAGAAAGGATTTTCTAAATAATTATTCACCATTTGTGTTCCAATTCTCCAGCATTTTTTTTCTAAGCTATTGTTTTAAGGAAAATTTGAAAAAAAACTTGGTTTCTTTTTCTTTTACAGTAGAATTTTCTGTTCATTTCAATTTCTTTTTGGGAAAATATCTTTGTAGACCCAATTTTCTTTCATTTTTCTGTAGACACAAACTTTCCAAACTTATCTTACAACATAGAGATTTCATCTTTTATATCTTCTAACTCCCTAAACTAAGTCTACTCATTTTTATCTTAACTTTTTAACCCAAACAAATTTGAAAAAGGCCTCTCTAAAAAACACTAGTTTTCTCTATTTTTTTTATCTTCATGTGCTTCTCTCACGGGGGTAGAGAGAAAGTCGGGGAACAAGGAGAAGACACGGGGGAGGAAGAGAGAGAGGTTTGAGAGATTGGAAAGAGAGAGAAAAATGTGGAGAGAGGGGTTTAAAAATGATGTCTTTCTAAATTTTGTTTGGGCTAAAAAATAAGATAAAGTTGGTCTAGGGGGTTTGAAGATATAATAAATAGAATCTTTATGCAGCTAAATATGTTCTCAAACCTTGGGTTTACGGAGAAATGAAACTTAAAAATAGGATCTATGAAGATATTTTCCCTTTTTTTTCATAAAAGAAATAATTATCATTTTTTATTTTTAAGGCCACTTCATTTTCCCCCCCAAAAATAAGGGAATCTTCACTAAAAAAAAGAAAAGTAATCTTTAGTCATCTTTAAGGCCTCATCCTCTTTGTCAAAAGAAAGAAAGAAACAAACAAACAAAAGATAAAAAATACATTGTAAAAAAATAATGAAAATAAAAAAAATCTCATTTCATATATTTGCTTTAATTCAGCATTTCCCACTTCTCTCTCTGTTCATTCAAAAAAAAATGAGGGTAAAAAAGAAAAACAAAAAAAAAAGAAAACTTTCAAGGGTTTACACCCTCCAATAACTATGCCTTTGATTGAGTCACCATCAACTCGGGGTGCACCCCACGTGGCATGGATTCTTCCTTTTGCTCACAATCTTGACTATAAACCTTGTTGGGGGTCACCTATCCCCTCACTCTGATTGTGCTTTTCATCGAGTCACCCTCGATTCGAGGCACACCCTACTTGGCATGGATTGTATCTAGTGCTTACTTTCCTTTGATCGTGTGTCTTGCTTGATTGTCACACTTTCTCCTCACACTTATATATGTGTTCTTCCACTTCATTTACGCACATCGGATAAGGGAAACCCAAGAAAACTATTTCAAATCTTTCAAAAACCCCTAAAATTGGCACAAACGTTGTGAGAGACACTAAGCCTTGAGAGCAGGGATGGTTGAAGTTGTGTAGCTTTAACTGTGAGCGCTCTTCCATAATTCTCTGCCTCAAAGCAACCCCACATATAGTATGACTTGGTTAATCCCTTTAATAGGTGGCTAAGACCTATGTGGGGACCCAATTCATCCTAGACAAATTTTAGCTTTCGATAGCTGGAATATTGTTGATCTTATGGCCTACCCAAAGTCTAGTTTAAATTTACTTCAAATCATTTTGTGTTGCACTGTTGTGTTTAGATTTGGATATAGCAGTTTGAATCTAGGTCTAGGTCAGGGTTCATACCATGGTTCAAACTTAGAACCACCCCTAGGTCTGAGTTAGGGCTGACGCCCAGCTTAACCTAGGTCTAAATTCGGGCCTGCACTCAATTTGAATCCATTTCCTTTTCAGGTCTAAGTTAGGGCTCACGCCTGATTTAACCCAAGTCCAGGTTTGGGTTTTCACTCGGTTCCGACCCCTTTTCTCCTTCAGGTACGTGTCAGGGCACACACCTTGTCTAGCCCAGATCTTGGCATGTCCACACCCATGTCTAAGTCTAAGTCAGAGCTCATTGGTTGGGCCCGGATCTACCTCACTTGGGCTCCCTTGGGGACCCAGGTTCGATCGACTGCCTCTCGAACAACCGCCTTGATTCTCATGAGCGCGTGTTCGGCTCGTGTGAATAGGTATATCCAACTATGAGAGGATTTTAAAGCGATGAACATATGGACTTGAACACCTACCTCACCATAGTTTGAGTTCATGGGATAAGCCCGGGCTATTGCCTTCTTAGATCAATGAACAAAAGCCCTCCGAATGTCCAGTAGCGCGGTTTGAATTCGGCCCTCTCTAAACTTAACACCTTACCTCAAATCTCATTGAAAAATTGCTAATGAAATCCTAATATAATGTTCTCCTCTTTGATGTATTTTATAGGTTAAGGGCTCTAGTTTTAGGGGATAGAGTGGTAAGAGAGAGAAGAAATAAGACAACAAGACTAAGTTAATAAAAACTTGGCTTAGAGGTAAGAAGAAGAAGAAAAAGAAAAAAAAAATGCAGATATGGCTCAAAGAAAATTGGGCAGCCTCCTAGTGTAACCT